AAAGAAGAACAGGAGTACTTGTGGCACCTTAGAGACTAACAAATTTATTAGAGCATAAGCTTTCATGGACTACAGCCCACTTCTTCGGATGCATAAGTACTCACAAGTACTCCTGTTCTTCTTTTTGCGGATACAGACTAACACGGCTGCTACTCTGAAACTTATGGGCATAGGTGCTGGAACTGGGGGGGCTGCCGCACCCCCCCATGGTTTGAAGTGGTTCCATCGTATCCACGGTTTACAGTTTGGTTCAATAGCTCTCAGCATCCCCACTGTACAAATTGTTCCAGCCCCCTGCTTTTGGGGGGTGGCGGGGTCTGGGGCTGTGGGGCCCTGTGCACTGGGGTGGGACCTGTCTGTGCCCACCGAGGCACAGTATGGACAGACATAGACCAAGGGTGGACAGACGGGTGGACACAGAGACCTGTCTGCACTAGCCACAGTGGTGGAGGGGGGCACAGTAGTGGGGCTGGGGGCAGAGGGGCTGGGAGCAGAGGGCCTAGGAGCGGCAGATCACATGCCTAGTGCCTCCCATGCTGTGGCTGATGCCCTCGGCACCAAAGTGGTTTTCACCGACTCCCCATCCTCTCCCCTGTCCCCGTTTCTCAGGGTCTGGGCGTTAGCTGCTGCACTAAGAGGCCCATTAGGGCTCTCTGTTGACTCAGCCCTCACTGTTCCAGTAGGACCCCTGGGTGCTGGCATCTTCCAGCCCAGAAAACTCGGCTATAACATGGAGCTCGTGCTGTGATGTCTGGACCCCGGAGCGCGCCTCAGTGTTTCAATCCTCTCCTTGCCAGGCCTGGGCTGCCAGTCACCGGCCTTTCCCCTTCTGCTCTGGCTCTGCCCAGCCCGGGGCTGGAGAGACACACAGATTGGCAAACTGTGTGTCTAGCTTGTGTCACATTCACAGTGCGGAGGGGCAGTCGAGTGGGGGAGCCAAGGGCTAGCACCAGGGTTAAAGCACCCTTTTCCCAGGGAAGACAAGGCTTGTGGAATCAAGGGAGATGAGGTGGGGGAGGGAATATCTTTTACTGGACCGGAGTCTGTGGGTGAGAGACAAGCTTCCCAGCTCCACAGAGCTCTTCTGCGGGTCTGGGGAACACATCAGATGGGCTCCCAGCAAGAGTCCCCGTTGCACCCAACCCCCATGACAGCGGCACTAGCCAGCGGCCGAGCTGGCAGCCAAACTCCCCTCTCCGTTGAGATCCCCAGCAGAGCCGGGCGAATGAGGGAGCCTGGCTCCCAGGCCAGCACTCAGATCATACGCCCGGGCAGCGGAGTCTCGGAACATCCAGTGGCAGGGGTGTGGACCGTGGCAGGGAGGGGATTTCACGGGGCCCCAGAGCCCCAAAGGGACTGTGGGGGCAACAGCTGTACGTCTGGGAACGCCCCTGAGCTGTGGGGGGGGGGTGGTCCTGGCGTCGGGGTGTCTGAGGCGATGGGCCAGTCCCCGTGAGGCTCGGCTAGTAACCCAGCCAGGCTGCCTCTGCCCCACTCTCCCCTCCCCGGCACTGGCTGCTGCCCCATGGCACACGAGGGCAGCCCTGTGAGGAGTGGGGCAGCACTGCCCCGAGGGTGCCAGCCCCTCTCCTCTGTCTGCAGGCGCAGGGGGGCAACCCTGCCCCCCTGGTGCCAGCCCCTGGCTCCCCCTCGTGCCAGCCTCTCTCCTCTGTCTGCAGGTGCAGGGGGCAACCTTGGGTGCCAGCCCCTTCGCTCCCCCTGTGCCAGCCCTTTGCTCCCCCCCCCCGTGCCAGCCCCTCTCCTCTGTCTGCAGGTGCAGGGGGGAAACCTTGGGTGCCAGCCCCTCGTCCCCCCCCCCCGGTGCCAGCCTCTCGCTCCCCCCCACTCCTCTGTCTTCAGGTGCAGGGGGGCAACCTTGGATGCCAGCCCCTCACTCCCCCCCGTGCCAGCCCTTTGCTCCCCCCCCGTGCCAGATCCTCGCTCCCCCTCCCCCGTGTCAGCCCCTCTCCTCTGTCTGCAGGTGCAGGGGGGGCAAACTTGGGTGCCAGCCCCTCGTCCCCCCCCCGGTAACAGCCCCTCGCCCCCCACCCCCACCGCGCTCCCCCCAGGCCGGAGCTGGACCCGGGAGCATGCGCACCGCTCCCTGCCTCAGCTCGGCTCCTCCGTGCGCCCTCCCCGCCGCAGACTGGGGTGTTCGCCGCCGCGCTGCCGTCGGGACCGGAGCCCGGCCGGGGGCAGCCCGGAGCCATGGCGGATGGCGAGGAGCTGCAGACCTTCACCTCCATCATGGATGCGCTCGTCCGGATCAGTGTGAGTGGCTGGGGGCTGCCTGGGGGAGGAGAGCGGCTCCTCGGGACCGGGGGGGGGACGCCTCGTGATGGGGGGGATGGGGTGTGCATTGCACGGGGTGATCGGTGTGCATTGCACGGGGGTGGGCTGTGCAATGCACGGGTGTGATCGGTGTGCATTGCACGGGGGTGGGGTGTGCAATGCACAGGGGTGACTGGTGTGCGTTGCACGGTTGGTGGGGTGTGCAGGAGCCAGGAGGATGATTGTGCAGTGCAAAGGATAATTGGGTGTGCAATGCACGGGTGGGTAGAGAGACTGGGTGTGTAGTGTATGGGGGATGGGCGTGCAATGCACAGGGGGGGTAGAGAGATGGTGGTGATGGAGGGAGTGATGATGGTGGCATGGGAGGGGGGTGAGCAGGAACCAGACCAGCTGCTTCTGGGGGTGAGATGCTTGAATCCAGCAGCCTAGGCACTGCCCCCCCCCCCGCTCCCTCGTCCCC